ACCAATATAATAATGATGGCTAAATATCCCTGACATTCCCGATGTACTGTATAGATATAACTAATTATGGCCCTAGTCTCATAATTTTAAGAGAAGCGTTTCAAAAATGTTTCTTGATATAAATATCAAAAACGACATTGGATGGCCAATCAAACTAAGACAGTTTTTCCTTAGTCCTCAGATGTTGGATGTAAAAGAAACTTGGCCTGAATACTTTAACTGAGCACATATGACCTTTAACATCTAATAGGCTCATACAGGTCTTGGTAAAAGGAGTTAAGTTTTGTTAAATCTAAGTCAAGTCGTCTGATATATATTGTCTGAAGGTAGTGTCAACAAACATTACAATTGAATATCCTTCGTAAAAATATGAGAAAAAATTGCTATCTTCATCTTAAAGACACTTCCTATAGGTCCTCCCCCATCTTTTGTAAATTTGAATTACATGTTTGATTACCTCAGTGACATTTAATGAAATATCAAGATAACGAACAGTATTCAATTTCGAAAGTCCAATGAAACGATACAAATTTGGAGCAGAGCAAACATGATTCTATATAAAACTAAAACTAAAACTTAAAGTAGGGATAACTTTTAAAAAAATTACATTTTGTTGATCAGAGAATGAATCAACACCCCATAGCATCAAATGCACATCTATATGTACAAATTGTTGAATGATAATGGATTATTCATCAGAGAATGTCTTGCTATTGCATATGTTTTACAAAAATGGGATGAATCTTTTAATAGTCTAATAGTCCACATAAGCAATTTGGACTGGCTATTAAATTACAGCGAAATAGGCTAGAGTTTAAAATACAATTATGTCTCAACCTTGTGTGAATAATTTTCAGAAATCTCTTTCCATATGAGAAATATTTTGGAGGTTTTACAATATTGCTTGACAGAAATTTTTAAAAAGTTTTAACGGAAGTTGCCCTTACAGCTGGATTCATTGCATTCCGCCTTCTAACTGTGTCCGGAATAAAAGATTTATTGAATAATTTTAATCTGCATTTTGCCAAGGAATAGTTCGAAGAATCTGTAGAATATTGTGAAATAGTGCCTCATATCATGCACTATATTTTGTATGTGATTAGGTACTAAATTGTGTATTTTGTACATTGTTACTAGATTAACTCGATTTCCTCTGTTTTCCAAAGGTTCCCAACCAGTTTCCAATTTAAATAAAGTGAATTTTTGGAATCAATAAGTGTAAGACCAAGTTATTATTCTAGCAGCAAATAATTGAACTTTCTCAAGCTTTTCAAATTCTGCCAAAGTACATCCAGAGCAAACTTCAACATCGTATTCCAGTTTTGGTCTGATAAAAGAAATATACATCAGGGACAAATTATATTTAAATATCCCTTGACACAGTGAATTTAAGCTTTTTAAGTAAACCAAGTTTTTGTAAGGTTTCTTTACAATGTTTTCAATGTGATAAGACCACCCCAAATTATCCCAAGATGTATGTATTGTGTGACATTCTAATTGACAATTCTCAAAAATTAAATTTGGAAATTGTTGCACAACTTTTCAATGACAAAATACTGCTTTGGTTTTCAGTTGTTTAAATTTCAACAACAATTTCTTTGACCATTCTTGTAATATTCCAAGATATCATGATTAAGATTTTGCTCGATAAGAATAATACCTGAACATTGTTGTAAAGAATTATCATCAGCATATAGTCTACAAACTATATATATATATATATATATATATATATATATATATATATATATATATATATATATATATATATATATATATATATATATATATATAATAATAATAATAAAATTAGGGATGGCAATCGATTACAGAATTGCAAACCGGTTGACAGCAAGACGTTCTGACCGATTAACCAGTTTATCGTATCAAAAATACACATTTAATTGTTATTATATTTGTTTTATCTTCTGTAAGCTCTATTTCAGATACACAGAAAAACCTTTAAGAAAAGACGTAATATACTGCCTATGTTTAATCAGAACAATTTGTGAATTTATTTCTATACAGCAAGAAAATGAACAAAGAAATCACTGAAACATGCTTTACGTAATAGAGTAAACCATTTTTCAAGTCAATCTGCACTAGTGTCACGATCTTCATTGTTGTCAATGTCATTAGAATTCTCATTGATTTTTTTTTTGCTAAACCAGCGACATTAGGGAATTGTGTTTCATGATCGGCCCACCATTTTAGAGGATCAACACTTTGTGTTCCTTTCTCATTCATAAATCGAGACAATTCACTTTCTGGTTCATTGGGTTCTTGTTGAAATGCTGTAAGGAAATCCAGCATTTTTTTCGAGGGTTCCTCGTTGATAGTCTCTGATTGCATTCGTTTCAGTGGCAAATCATCGAGCAAAGTCTCTAATTCATCAGCGAAAAACTGTTTTTGATTTTCCGTCAAAAAATGTAACTGTTTATAACGAGGACCCAGTAATGAAGCGAGGAAAGGAATTTTTTGGCCATTTCTGCATCAAAGGGTTGAAATCGTTTGATAAGTTCTAGATTAGTCTAGAGAAACGCTTTACATATTCATGTTGGAAAGTGGCGCAGTGTTTAAACAGTAATTAGCACTTCTCAAACAGACCAAGTACCTTGATGTCAATAGGGGGAGCTGTCATTTTCTCCAAATTAATTTAATTATATATGTAAAACGCCAACTTAAATGTTAGAAATTTGGAATAAAAAATTATAAATTGTTGCAAAATTTTGCTAGAAAATACGCATTTTTTTTATTTGACTAAAGGAATTAGAAAATTTGCAATCGGTCACCATCGTTCCGACCGATTAACCGGTTAAAAATGTCCATCCCTTATATGATGAGACGGAAGACCTTAAATATAAACAATACTTTAGTATACTAGTGAATGGGCTTTTTTTAAAGCGGAATCCTTTTGATCGTGTCCCCGGGCAGAGCAGATACACAATCATCTACTGGAAATAAAAATAGACTATCACTACAGACCCTCGGGAAAAAACTCCCTATTTAGTTCAATAAAAGTGAGAGTACCTTCCATAACTTACAAAAACAAATCTTCAAAAGGTCCCATGTTTGTACGAGATTGGTCCCTCGACTGTTTTTGGAGGGAAAATGGGGTTTATCCAACTTTTTAAAGCAAAGATGAAACGTGATGTTGCTTTGGACATTTGACGTTTTCATCCGTGCGCCGTAAGGCGACACCACACATATCTTCAAATCCCACTTTCTGCTTATTTAATTGAGCATATATCAATTTGAAATTTGTGATGTAAATTGATGAAAAATACACTAAGGGGTAGGGAAAATTTTAGAAAGCAGTGTTGATTATTTTTCACTGCAGACAACTTGTCCCCGATTCTACCGGACAACCCTCGTATTCTATGTCCGGAGGGACTTTTTATTAATGAAATGTCTTCCTCCCCCCCCCCCCCCACACACACACAAATCAATCCTTTTCCCGTAAAACTTTCATTTCCTCTGATTAGATCTTTTTTTTTTTTTTACGAAAAATGATGAACTTCTACTATTTTGCGAATTTAAATGTAAATGTCTAATTTTATTTCTTACTTTAGAGGTGTACCCACTACTAAGTGATGATGTGCCTTTCAATTGATAATATCTTAGTAAAAAAAAAATTAGCATATTTTCCATCAACAAGGAAAATGAAGAAAAAAATACCTAACATACCAATGATTTTATAGTTCAATACGGAAATATATACTTAAGAGAGGTTTTAGTTCGTGGATATCTATACTTATGAATTAACAAATTTTGCAAATAAACTCCGAAACGGGTGCATCAGAGGTCTTACTTACTCCCCTAACAATACACTATATACAAGATGATGTCCGTAAACTATATTTGGATTTCACACTCGCATAGTTAGTATCGTACATTAAATTAAAAGTCTACTTTCATTTTTCGATAAACAGCCATGAAATAGGAAAAAAGAGAGTACGGTGGCGTTTCCGGTTGGCGGATCTAAGTTAATGGCCATTTTTAATGAAACTGATAACATGCAATCGTTTATTTATATCATAGAACTTCATCACTGAATTATTCAATCAAAGTTGTGATAATTGATTAAAAAGGGAAATGTGCAAATTACTTTCGTCATTCACCGATCTTCATATTGACGGAAGCTTCTAGAACATCATATAGCATCGAGCCCGATGTTAAAAAGAAAAACGAGGCGATTTTGCTGCATGAATATAAAAAAAGCTTTTGTGTGTATGGTCATTGAAATAATAGTAAATCATTGATAACACTATAAGTTGTGAATAATTTATATATCGAAACACTATTACATATATATATAGTAGGTTTTCCTAATAAATTTATCGGTAAAATTTGTATATATTCCTTACTTAGAGCATCGCGGCAACGAACCCGACGTACAATATTTGTACTTCGTTATAAACTTGCTCACATGCAAAGAGAAAATTAATGAATAAGGTATTGTTCAAATACAATTAAAGCTGTAAAATTTTGTGCTTTAACCAAAACATTTCTTTTTTTCTCTAAATACAGTCTTTTGTATCAAATACTCGGTCTATTCATAGGGCGTTAAAAGCTAATTTTGTATGAACCTTATTGATATGTAAAAAATGCAATGAACTTTTTTTTACATATCAATAAGGTAAATGCATATTTATAAACTAAGATCCAACTACCTTTGAATTTTTACCCCCCCCCCTCCCCAAATCAATTTATCAGTAAAATGTGCATATTCGCTGCTTTTATTCTTGATAATTAAATAAGAGGATCTAATCAAAGTACAATATCCGTTACATAGTATAACAGGTTTCACAATAAACGTCGATTAATGAAATTGTTATTTTTCAAGTTTTTACAAAAAGAGGTCGGATGGGGGTGGAGACGTACACCTACTTCATGCAGGATTTTGAAAAAGTATTTCTTCCTGCTATAAGCCTGTAGGCCGTCAGTAGAAACTACAATATACGTTCTGTCGGTACTCTGGTATAAATTCAATTCCCCGCGCTTGCGCGGGATTTCATCTAGTTCTGAATATATATTGACAAGATGTCGACTACGATAGTTGTTCAGCAACCATCAGTTATTCCAGATAATAGGCTGATGGTGACTACTATTGAAGGCCACAGACAGTGGAGCACTGGCCTATTTGACTGCTTCTCTGACATTAAAACGTGTAAGTATTTAACTTCTGTCGATCATGCACAAGGTTTCCTAATCAAATTTAAAATCAATACTTGATGGTACAATGTAACATATATTCAGTTTTGCGATTATATGATCGATGTATATTTTTATTATGTTGTTTATGTGACATGTACATCGCACCTGAAATGTTTTTACATTGTAGTGATAAAAAGTTACAGCTCTCATTTAAGATTAAAAAAAAATGTGTTAAAATGATCAAAAATAAACAAGAATCAAAAAGGCGGGTTACTATATTCAATTACATGTACTTTTAATATTTCTACTACATTGTTAAACTATGTTTTCTTTGAATTGAAATATGCTGTATATTGATTCAATCGAAAATATAAACGAAAAAAGGAATATATAGTAAATGTTACCAATACAGACAGAATGTTCAGGATCCAGAATTTTGAAATTAATGACTTTTATGAATATGAATCATAACATCAAAACACATCCCAGAAGGGGTAGTGTGACTAAAATATTCAGTAAATACACAGTAGTCTGACTTGGTACACAACTACTGTAAGACGTTCAATATGAAATATATAGATCATAAAGCAAGCCCTATCAAGAACGCACGTTGACAATATTTCAAGTTAAAACCAGAATTTAATTAGATTGTGCATTTTGAAAAGTATTTTATCAAATTTTTCTGGTTTTTTGAAATACATTATCTGTATTTCTGAAATATGTTTCGATTCCTGAGTACAGAATGTCAGAGTTTATGAAGTGAAAACACATGTTATACGGAAAAGTTGACAACTAAATACACATAGGCAATGGAAATATGGGTCTTAAAGTTATTCTTTAAAGTATTGATTACATAGAAAATTAGATTACATGACCATTTTTCGAACTTTAAGCGTTATTTTAAAAATACATTGTATGTCATTTGCTGAAACATAAATTCACATTTAAAATTTACATGTCATTCATCATGATTCATTCATTTTGTCTTGAAATAACAAAAATGATGGGAAAAAAGTCATAATTTTCGATTTTCATTCAACAAGAACACATTTTTTCTTGATAACAGACCTAGACACTTATTGAAATGAAATATTCACAACGTAAAATAATGTTACTACTTATCAGCTATGTATCATTTTAACACAGGCATCATTGGATACTTCTGCCTTCCTTGTACCTTATGTAACTTGGCCTCTAGAACTGGAGAGTGTTGCTGTATGCCTTACTTTGTTTCAGGAGGAACAGTTGTTATGAGAAGCAGGATCAGAACCATTGGGGGCATCCAGGTATATAAAGTCAAGCAAAAGTTCATATAACAAGAGGCCCATGGGCCACATCGCTCACCTGAGCACATTGGCAAGGCAGAAGCACAAATCAGTTCAGTATTGAAAAGATTACGGGGGGGGGGGGGGAGGGGTTGAATTTTAAACTACCTGATGATGCTTCCATGTCAATATAACAAATGGCTTTGTTGTACTTGTGATGATTTTTAAAACAATTTCCCATATATTCCTTTGTTAAGGCTCCTCCCTATCCCAGGGGTCATCATTTGAACAAACTTGAATCTACACTACCTGAGGATGCTTCCATATCAATATGACTAAACATAGCTTTTCTGTTCTTGAGAAGATTTTTTTTTTCTATATGTTCTTATGTAAACTTTCGATCCCCCTAATGGGCCCCACCCTACCCTCGGGGGTCATCATTTGAACAAAATTGAGTTTACACTACCTGAGGATGCTTCCATATCAAAATGACTAAACATGATTTTCAGTTCTTGAGAAGAAGATATTTTCCTATATGTTCCTATGTAAAATTTTCGATCCCCCATTATAGCCCATCCCTATCCCCTGGGGTCATCATTTTAACAAACTTGAATCTACACTACCTGAGGATGCTTCCATATCAAAATGACTAATCATGGCTTTGCAGTTCTTCATCAGAAGATATCTTCCTATACATTTCTATTTCAGACTTTTATCCTCCATTGTGGCCCCACCCTAACCCAGGGGGTCATGATTTGAACAAACTTGAATCTACACTACCTGAGGATACTTCCACATAAATATGATCAATCAGGGCTTTGCTGTTCCTGAGAAGAAGATTTTTAAAGATTTTTCCTATATATTTCTATGTAAAACTTTGATCCTCCATTGTGGCCCCACCCGACCCCCTGGGGGTCAGGATTTGAACAAACTTGAATCTACACTACCTGAGGATACTTCCACATAAATATGATCAATCAGGGCTTTGCTGTTCCTGAGAAGAAGATTTTTAAAGATTTTTCCTATATATTTCTATGTAAAACTTTGATCCTCCATTGTGGCCCTGCCCTACCCCCGGGGGGTCAGGATTTGAACAAACTTGAATCTACACTACCTGAGGATGCTTTCATATAAATATGACCAATTAGGGCTTTGCTGTTATTGAGAAGATTTTTAAAGATTTTTCCTATATATTTCTATGTAAAACTTTGATCCTCCATTGTGGCCCCACCCTACCCCCGGGGGGTCAGGATTTGAACAAACTTGAATCTACACTACCTGAGGATGCTTCCATATAAATATGACTCATCATGGCTCTGTTGTTATTGAGGAGAAGATTTTTAAAGATTTTTCCTATATATTTCTATGTAAAACTTTGATCCTCCATTGTGGCCCCGCCCTACCCCGGGGGTCATGATTTGAACAAACTTGAATCTACACTACCTGGGGATGCTTCCATATAAATATGACTCATCATGAATTTGCTGTTCTTGAGAAGAAGATTTTTAAAGATTTTTCCTATATATTTCTATGTAAAACTTTGATCCTCCACTGTGGCCCCGCCCTACCCCCGGGGGTCATGATTTGAACAAACTTGAATCTACACTACCTGAGGATGCTTCCACATGAGTTTCATCTTCCCTGGCTTTGTGGTTCTTGAGAAGAAGATTTTTAAAAGATGCTATTAATTTTTCACTAATTCTTTGTTATCTCCCCTTGAAAGAGGGCGTGGCCCTTCATTTGAACAAACTTGAATCCCCTACACCCAAGGATACTTTGTGACAAGTTTGGTTGAAATTGGCCCAGTGGTTCTTGAGAAGAAGTCGAAAATGTGAAAAGTTTACAGACGGACAGACAGACAGACAGACAGACAGACAGACAGACAGACAGACAGACGGACTACAGACAAAATGTGATCAGAAAAGCTCACTTGAGCCTTCGGCTCAGGTGAGCTAAAAAGTAATGCCCTAGTAATTACATTTACAGTTCTTATGTTAAATACCTTATTTTTTTTATACAGGGTTCCGCTTGTAATGACTGTATGGTACTGTCTTGTTGTGTCCCTTGTGCAGTGTGCCAGATGCAGAGAGAACTCAACAATATGGGAGTTCCATAAGGACAGCATCTCCAAAGATTTTAGAATTAAATTATTTTTTGTAAAGAAAGTTTTTTTTCTCTTTGTTTTCTACAGCTCCTATGCTTTATCAAGCGGACATTAATTCCTCTTTATCCACTTGGTGTATTTAAACGTAAAAAATGAATATTATTTCTGTATTTTTTTTAAATATAATTTTGGAATAAAAGGATTAAACGCTTTATCGTAAATCGCATTATCAGTTTAATTTAATCAGGCGAACAACCTTAAAGCAGAACTCGATTTAAAAAAAAAACAACCTTCAAAAGGATGGGAAGAGACTCTTATGTCCATGTATAAAAATGGCACGCCTTAACAATGAGAAGTACTTGCAAATAATTAAAAATCAAATTTCAGTGTTGTTGTAAGAATTTTGTAAAGGAAATAAAGTTTTGAATAAACAAAAACTCTTAAAAATCTGTTGTTTTGCAAAAAATTGTTGTATACAAAGGGATAGAAAATTAAGAAGAAATAAAGAAGTAAGAAAGATATGTGTGAAATGCCTTATCTGTATTTCTGACGTACTTTTCGAGTCCTAATTTGAGCGTGTCCGAGAAAAAAATTATTAACTTGCTCGGACTAATTTTGTGTATAATTTATGAAGTGAAAAGACATGTTGTACAGGAAGGTATACAACTAAGACATGCATAAACAATTTCAGGTATTATGTCAAATAAATGTTCAGGCACAAGTAATGGATTAGTAATTAGCAATAGTTTCAAAAAGAAAGGGGGCAACTTACCCAAAAGAATCAGAAAAAAAACCTTAAACTGTCAAGAAAAAGGGGGGGGGGCTTCGCAAAATAATCTGACAAGAAAAAAAAAAGTTTAAAAAGTCCTTAACTGTCCAAATCCTGGAATTCTCCGTTGTTCGACCTTTCAGCAACAAAAAGTGGGAGGACCAACGCGTAACTAAATGAAAATTCACTATAGCAAAATACTCTATTCAGAAAAAGTGGGGGGGGGGGGTAGTGGGGCTCCCCCCATGTTCTATGGCCCTGGAGGTTGATGTTAGAAAGATGCTAGAATTTCTCATTGCCAATATCTATGTGGTTTTTGGAAACGACATCTTCAAGCACTGTTAGAATTCCACTGGGGAATAATTATGCCCGTTATTAGTAGATCAGTTAGGGGTATTCATATAAAGCAGAACTTATCCGGAGACTTCTACATAAATAATATTTTATGTAATATAGAAACCTAAGAATTAATAAAATAGGAATAATGCCAGCCTGTAAAATCTTTTGATTTGTTTTTTCTTTTGTCATTGCTTGTTTCTTTTTGATATTTAATTTAAATATATAAAATAGCTACATCATTTACAACAACAAAACTGCTTATTATGTATAAGATTTTTACAGATGTTTGGTGATTATTGATATCATTTTTCTAGATTTAAACCTATGTATGAAACGATGGTAGTGTAAAAGATTCTATGTAAACGATGTCAGATATACAATACAGATATACAAACCTGATCTTTCAGCTTGGACCAGTATAGATTAATTGTGTAATGTATCTAATTTTTTTCACATCTGATTTATTGAAGACAAAAGTAAAGATGGTTTTCATATTGCCCTTCAGCCGTTTAATGTGAGATTTTAACATCCATCTGATACATTTAATCCATTCTGACAGTGTCAAGTTCTTCTTTTTCATGTTTTCTAATCGCCTGGCTCTCAAAGGAGCGCAGGAGAGCCAATGGTATGATGCAAGATGGTTTCAGTATAAAAGTGGCCAGTTTCTGCAATATGCTCTGTTTCATAACTATTGTTTTTAACATGAGAAGTTTTAATATTTGATTCCGAGTATTTTGGCTTTAATTTACACATAAAAATATCCCAGATTGCTGGGCAATTGCATCGTTACCATTAAAATGTAAATGTGTTGTACCAGAAGTGTCAAGTGACCGGCAGTGATGCTGACTTAAATCGTTAGGAGTCAAGACGTCGGGTCACATTTGCTCGTAGGATGATTTTACATACGAGTAAATCTGGATTCACAGGTGTCAAAAATTGTTTGTGGTCATTTTCAGAGAAGGCTCTTCCATAATTTTCATCAGTTTTCAGCGTAAATCAGCATTTTCCATGTTAATAATTAAATTAATCTTTATACTAAAGTAAAAGTTATATGTTAGTTGTAAACAAGTTTACGCGGGTTATGTATTTTTTCTGCAACAGCTGCGACATTATTTCCCGTTCTAACAACCAAAGAAAGCATTTTATTGTTTAAATACATTGCAACATACAAACATTATTGCATTTTGTGAAAATACAAGAAGCACTGATTCATCACTTATAAATGACTACGTTTTTGTTTGTATATTATAAATGATTATATTATACGCATGTACATCATATATCATCGTCAAGCTGTTCAGATATATCTCATTATATAGAACTAATAAGAGAGGGAAAGAGGCACTTTGAAAGAAGAAAACATAGTCATATATTAAGTGCAAGTAATCCCTGAGAGGCGTTTGTTAAGGTAAGTATGTGTATATGTATTTTTCATTTGTAAGCCCCTATATTGCAAAATTAGAACAATATTATTTAAAAACAAATTCTTTCATTTTCAAAGTTTATCAATTTGGCTTTACCACTTCTGAAATTAGATAGATTCGATTTCTGAAGAAACTCTTGAGATGTGGCTATAGTACATTATACAGTTTTATTTCGTAAATAAATAAATATACTTGAAAGAAACAATCCGTTATATCATTTTTGCAGTTTTAAATTTTTACAAACTTTGCGATATACCTTAAATATACTATGAGACATTGAATCAAAGTGATCAAAACGGATAAATTAGGCTAATTAGCATTACATATATCATCGTAAAGCTGTCCAGAGTCAGCATATAACACATAGACATTTCAAGGGATTTGATCAATGACCTAGCATACATCGAGGAAACACTTTTAAATTAAAAAAAGAATCATATCTTGTATCAGTTGCCGCGTGTCGTTTGTTGAGGAAAATTTCTATACATGCTAATGGTTTTTTATGGGTTTTTTTTTTTATCTTAAAATGTTAAAAATAATAATGATCATGTTTGTTTTTTCAGAGTTTTGTTAAAACTTGCATTGTTTTCTAATATGATTAGGAAAAGAACCGTTGTTGGATTTATGTTAATGACCTCTGCAATTGACTTAAATAATGGCGTCATTTGCAAAGAATTGATTTGAATAACGTTGCAAAGGAGTGAATCAAACCAGCACTAGTGAGCCTCTCTGAAATTAGTATGAGATCAATGTTTATTTTAGCTGCTTTGTAACTCTACTTCCTTTGACCTTTTATAAAACATTTGTCACGAGAAACTATCTGGGTGAAGTACAATTAACTGTATTCGAGAAACCGTGAGGTGATAAGTATCCACCAGTAGGATGTGGTTTTTTTTTTTTTTAAAATCCTCAGTTATACAATTACGTAATGAAATAACAATCTATTTAAGAGTTTCACTATGAGATAAAAATGGAAGAAACGTGTAAGTAGCAATGTAGGACCAAAGCGGTGATCCATGATTTTGATAAGGACAGAGAGGAATGATACAAGTCTAACGTTTTTTTTTATAGCTGTATAAGTGTATGTAACATTTCTTAATCTCAAAAAACCCATTTACAGTTCAGTCTTTTCAAGTGTGTGTATCCTGTTATGCAAAGCCTTCTCACAACTCAATGAAATTGCATTAAAAACTACCAAATCATGTATATCAGACTTTAAGTTGAAAACTTAACATGGAACTAAAGTTACACTTTCTTATTTCAGGTTATTATATATAAGTCGAATTTCAATGACACAAAAACATAATAGAGGATGTTTTGTAGTCAGTATATAATTTTAGCATAAGTAGATCTAGAACCAAAATACATGTAGATATATTGATAACAAGATTTACAGAATTCTGTTTGAAAGTAGAAGATTATACTTTCATGTAAATTCATTGAGTCTCATTTGTCCAAAAAACATTTGTTAACTAATGAAACTATGCAATATTGCGAATCGATTGACAAAGGTTTTCCTGGAGTTAAAATTTTCAATGTTACCCTCAACTTTATGCAATATTTAAATATTGTAGTCAAAATTGTTTTTTAGGGTTGTTCAAGGTAACACATAAAAATTTCTTGACTGAAAATCAAAATCAAAATTGTGTTTCATCGGATTTTTCAAATAAGAAACATTAATCTTATGCAACGCCTTGTTCTGAATTTGAATTTAACTTACTTTACTGCATTTCAAGCACACCTTCAGTGAAGCAGTATGAAAAAATCTCTTGCCTTTTTATTACAGACATATAATCATCGTCAAAGGCTCATCAAGAAATGTCGACCACTGTTATAGTCCAGCAGCCAACAGCAGGCTCCGGTAATCCGCTAATGGTTACAGGGATCCACGGTCACAGAGACTGGAGCACCGGATTGTTTGACTGCTTTGACGACCTCAAGTCATGTAAGCATTCTATAATGATCTTAATTTCCAAGTTGTATTACCAAAGAAGGAGTCATTGTAAGCTCTCTAATGAACATTTCGGAATCACCTCCCAGTCTCTTTCACATCAAGGATTGCATCTAAAAGCTCCTTATCAGCAATTCATTTTTTTTTAAATCAGCCCATTTTGGATATATAGTCAAAAACAATAGTGAATTAAGAGATTAAATGCTAAAGGGACTTAAGAAAGTAATAACCAACCAACAAAGTTAATTAGACAATTTTTATTGATAAATAAGCAAACAAACAAAACCTTCCACACTTTGACAAGGATAAAAAAAACAGATGAAAATGCTTTTCTTTTATGCATTCTATCTCGTCTGAATTTATTAAGCACACGCAGAAATAAACTCATGCAAGCATTTTGCCTTTGAACAAACTTATACTTTGAAATTGTAACACAGATATAATTTGAAAATTTAATTTTAAGAAAAGTTATAAAAACAGCTTCAGTTCTAGATGCGTTCATATTTTCACATAATATAATCAATGCATTAATACTTTGGATCATGAGACGGTTATTTGGTATTTATAAGCGAGATATAATTTTGCGAATATTTGTTATTGTTCGATATAATCTTTAGTAATACAAATTTACGCAAGAATTAAATTTTCGCGAGCAGGACATCTCGCATAATTGCGCGGAAATAAAGTTCTCGCGAAGAAAAAAGTGATTTAGAGTATATTATGAAACTAAAATGTCAACCATTGTAATTGCATGAAATAATGTATTACTCTATTTCAGGTCTCCTTGGATTCTTCTGTCTCCCCTGCACAGTATGTACAGTTGCCTCCAGGACTGGGGAATGCTGTTGTATGCCTTACTGTGTTCAGGGAGGAACAGTCGTTTTAAGGAGTAGAATCAGAACTATCGGGGGCATCGAGGTAAATAAGAACAAACGATAATCATTTTTACTTTGTTTACTCTTAACAACAATTTCTGCATTTTAAATTTTTGTAAAAATTTTTGGAAGTAATTTTTTAATTAATACTTTTAAAATACATTATTTACGTATTTTATTGGTACCGATTACGCCCCGTTATAAGCAGGCCTATTTTTGTATTCATATGAAGCAGAGTTTATTCAAAAACTTCTACATGAGAAGAAGAAAACGCTTGCTTTGGCCTTCATCTCGATATTTAGATATGACGACGTCGTATTATCAATTAACGATAGATACTTCCATTCATATGTGGATTCGATATATTCCAGCGAACTTGATTAAAAAAACTGAACAGAGTCTGACACATCTGTTTTATATTTGGATATTTTACTGGAAAAATACTTAAATGGTAACTTAACAACAAAGCTTTATGATAAACGTCATTAATTCAAAATTTCTATCGTCAACTTTCCTTACTTAGGTAGCAATATACCATTATCACCTGTATATGGGGTTTATGTCTCCCAGTTGATTCGATACGCAAGAGCATGCTCTACCTAAGATCAATTTTTAATACGAGGCACGCTATTTACCAACACGTTGATGAATCAAGGATATCAACAGTCTCGTTTGAAGTCTTCATTTCAAGTTCTACGGTCGATACAATGACCCTATAAGCAAGTACACTGACGTTTTTCATACTAATTGTTAGGCTATTAATTAGACAATAACATTTCCACGTATTACTCGATCATGACCAGGAGCACAGGGCGGGTGTGACCGGTCTACAGGGGTTCTAAGTCCTCCATGGCACCTGATTCCACCTCTGATGCTTTTGGAGGTCCGTGTTTGCTCTGCTCCCGATTTGAATTGTTAAAATGGACTATGAGCTTGAATACTGTTCATTAGCTCAATATTTCGTCAATCTTTTCTATCTCTTCAACAGGGCTCAGGTTGCATGGATTGTATGGTTTTGTCGATCTTAGGGCCATGCGCTGTGTGCCAGATGCAGCGGGAACTTGACAATATGGGAGTCCCAAAATGAAGGACGGTGTATTAGGATCCTAAATGAGAGTCCAGTGTATATGAAGGACTTATCTCCAATCACAAAATCTGCTTCATTTTATCTGTATCTACAACTGCAGTATTTTTTTCTGTTGTACATTTTAATATCAAATATGGACTTTTCACTGTTGCTGTCTTTGCTTACAACACCATATTAACTGTTACTTCAAGAAAAATAAATATTACAGAGAAAGTTTATAGAAGTTTTCTTTTGATGATCGAAAATTGTAATACTTAGATAACAAACTTGTTGCTAAACTAAGAGTAGAGCCTCTAAAAGTCAGCCAATACTGTAAACTAGTTGGTTTACAGTAACCTTTTCACCAAACATCAAGGATAAGGTATGATCTATTTCTATTAGAATTGCCAATGAACGTATGATATTTTTTTTATAGGGAATGGGTGTTCTTCCATTGAGAAGTGAATCAATTTATTATGTACATAGGGAATCTTAAGTATATACTGCAGTCCTTGCAACAGTATAAATATTTGCAGATAGGAGTAAATGTGTTATAACGCTCTTTAGTGATAACATGTTATGGCAATATCAGCACAAGTAAACAATTCAAAGTAGTCCTCACTGCGGTTTGTATTTGCAGAATGCCTTAAATATGGAATATCAGCTGTGGAATATCAACTTTGATAAATAAAAAAAGAACACCCTTAATATAGTAATTGATAATAGATTGAAAGTAGAAACATAAAGCAATCGAAGTGCAGCAATCGAAATAATATAGATAGGAAAACAATTTCCAGACCATGATTATATGCATTCTTCAATTCAAGCTCTTTTTAAATGATTTGGTCTCCTATATTGATTAAAAAATTTTCACAAGTGTAAAAGGAAAAAAAGTGAAGGGAATGAAAATGATCAATCTCATCAGTACAGCGCGCTAAACAAATCATGAACAGGGTAAACAGACGGACTTCTGGAAACCCAGAGATGGGGTCAAGTGCCAAGGAGGGTAAGCAACCCCTTTCGATCGCCAAATCTCCCAACCTATGCCCTATGGATTACCCTGTAGACAAATTTAGTAATGACCTAACAAATGCTATGAAACATGTCAGAGAAATGCGACCCAACGATAGGTTGTATTTACAAAGAAAGCCATTATGACGTCTGTTGAATTTGCCAAAAACTTACTTTAGACAGGTTGTTGAAATTCCAGACTTGGACTTGTAATGCCAACATATTTGTCAATATATTGCCTGTATTGATCGCACTTTGGGCATGCTTTTGAGTATCGAATCAGTTGGGGGACATAAACACCATATGCAAGTGATAGCTGAGTATTACTATGTAAATAAGGGAAGTTGACGATGGAAAATCTGAAGTGGTGCCGTTTGTCATACAGTTTAGTTATTATTTGGACATTATATTATCGTTTATAGTGAGTAAAACATCCAAATATGACACAGATTTGGTAAACTCCTTGTATCTATTATTTCAAGTTCATATGGATATAACAAAACCAAATATGAGTGAAAGTTGGACAATACATTGTCGATATATATGACCGTGGAGCTGAAGGCCACAGCAAGAGTTTTCCTTTTCTCATGTAAAAGTTTCTGAATAAATTCTGCTTCATAGAAATATATGGGGCTAATAAAGGACATAATGCGTGGTTATGCAAATTTTGTTCCATTTTCAAATTACGTTTCATAAAAGTTCAGGTTTTATTTCATAGAAGTCTACCTTTATGACTAGAGAAATATTCACCAAGGGACTCAGTACGAAAATATTGCTTTGTTTTCCCCTCCTGATTGTAAGAGTGCACAGAGCAGAGATCGATCTCAGAAATCTTGTAAGCAAAACGAGTCAGGTTTAATCTTAATTAAAGACAATGAGGAAAATGAACGACCGCGTAATAACGTGAATGCCTTGTTTTAAAACAGTGTGGTAAAGTACTTATAAAAAGACTGCACATCGTTTGGTTTTTGTTTTTAACTTTGTTCAAGCAATCACTCCTTGGCATATAGTTACTTTTATAAAAAAATATTTGAAAAAAGGGGCTATCTAAATGATTGATTTTATTATATTGTCAAATGAAAAGGATATTGAAATAAATTCAATGAAACACGATAAAATGGCGTTTTCTTTTCGTTTTTCTTTTAAACATTTTTTTTTTTAACGAATTAAGTTTCAAGACATAGATGACATCGATTTTTAAACACTATTAAATGAGTCTGAATAAATATATAACAATCAACTCAGGGTGAAAATTAAACAAGTTATGAGATAAAAATTACATACTTCAACCAGTGAAAACGACATGAAAAAGAGAATCCAGTATTTTGCTGTAAAAATATTTCCTCGACAATATTTTTATAACTATTCTTTGATTTGTTAAATCTCTCTAGGCCAATGAAGAAAAAAAAATCAATGTGAATATTGTGAAAGTGTATAAAGTGAAGAAATGATTATGAGTCTTGAAATGTAAATGATTTATAAAGGACTTAGGGCGGGTTTGATGATACCTGATTTGCTTTGCAAGTAGACACACCCTTTACGAATTTTTGGTACATGTTAATTATATTGTGCCATAGAGCATTTAAAAAAAAAGAAATGTTGCCCAAATACTGGAGATAGTTAAATAAAACGAAATTTAAAGCAACTTCGGTTACTTTTAAAAAATTCACTGATTTAATATTAATGTGAAATAATTAACCCATATTCATTAAATAATCCATAGGATGCTCATTGGGAATTGGTACATTAAGAAATCCTGTCCTATGTAGAACAAAATTCATAAAAAAACGTAATATATTGAAGTAGGTATATATTGAACTTTTAATTGTTTCAGTTTTTGACAAATATGAAAAAAGGTGAAGATAACGAACAGAGATCGATTCATAACTTTTTTCTTGATAATCCAATCAACAATGCCTTTAAAAGGCAATACAGCGCACGTTTGTTTTTGAGAAAACTAAAAAATTATATATATTTAAAAAAACTTGCGCACGTGAATTCAATTAACTGATCTTCATGATAGCTCAGTCGGTAGAGCGCTCGCTCAGGAACGGAACTATGGACGCGAAAACTAAAAGGAGGGCAACTGTTCCTTCGCCAAGAGCTCGGCACTTTGAGGTAAAAGCTGCGGATCTTCCGGATGAGACCGTAAAAAAAGACGCCTTGTCCCGGCAGGCATTGACACGATAAAGGTCTCTCGTTGCTTAATGACCCTGGTTGCCGACTAAATGTCTAAATTTCCTATATCTCTATATCTATATCTATATATATATATACATATATCTATCTATACCTATTGTTTGAAGATACCATTCATTGGATTCCTTATAAACATATAATTTTATGCCCCCGTAATCGAAGATTCGGGACATATAGTTTTAGCCCTGTCCGTCCGTCTGTCTGTCTGTCCGCAAAAACTTTACCTTGCCCATAACTTTTGATTGGTTGGAGCTAAGACTTTCATATTTCACATGTGTATTCCTTGTGACAAAACCTTTCTTTGGGTACCATAATATTTGACCTTTTGACCTTGGAGTTTGACCAATTTTTGCAAAATTTTTTGAGACTTTAACCTTGGCCCTAACTTTTGAACAGTTGGAGCTTGGGCTTTCAACCTTCACATGTGGATTTCTTATGACAAGACCTTTGGCTTTCAACCTTCACATGTGTATTTCTTATGACAAGACCTTCCTTTGGATACCAACATCTCTGACTGTTTGACTTGACCTTGAAGTTTGACCTACTGTTGAAAAAACTTTAACCTTGACCATAACTTTTGAACACTTTGAGTTAGGTCTTTCATACTTCGCATGTGTACTCCTTCTGACAAGACCCTACTTTGGATACCAACAACTTTTACCCTTTGACCTTGACCTTTGAGTTTGACCTACCTCAATTTTGAAAATTTTAACCTTGGGCATAACTTTTGAACAGTTAGTGCTGAGGTTTTCAGACTTTATATATGCATTCCTTGTGAGACCTTCCTTTGAATACCAACAACTTTGACCCTTTGACCTTGATTATGGAGTTTGACCTTCTTTTGAAAAACCTTAAACTTGGCCACAACTTTTGAACAGTTGGTGTTAGGGTTTTCATACTTCACATGTATATTCCTTGTGATAAGACCTTCATTTGGATACCAACAATTTTGGCATTGACCTTGACCTTGGAGTTTGACCTACTTTTAAAAAATTTAAACCTTGGCCATAATATTTGAATGTTTGGTTCTAGGGCTTTCACAATTCACTATCATGTGTATCACTTCTGACAAGACCTTCCCTTGGGCACCATTTTGCCTTGACCTTGCCGTTTTACTAACTTTGAAAAAAAACTTAAATCTTCCCCATAACTATTAGGGCTTTCATATTTCACAGGTATATTCCTCAAGATGAGACCTTTCTTTGGGTACCAACATTTTTGATTTTTTGCCCAGGAGTTTGATTTGCATTTGAGAAACTTTAACCTTCGCCATAAGCTGCCATACAGGGGCATCAGTGTTTCACAAACACATCTTGTTCTAGAAGAGTACTTCTTCCTAAGAAGATGGAATTAGCCCTTAACCCTACATGATCCATAATGATCATGTTTCCGTGCATTGAAACCTTGATCTTTCCGGAGAGATTGATTGATTGTATATTGTTTTACGTCCCATTAGAGAATTTTTCACTCATATAGAGACGTCACCAAATACCGGTGAAGGGCTTCAAATTTTGACCTTTACTCGGCACTTAGGGCCATTGAGCAGTGAGGGATCTTTATCGTGCCAACGCCTGCCTTGACACGGGGCCTCGGTTTTTAAGGTCTCATCCGAAGGACCCGCAACTTTCACTTCAAAGTGCCGAGCGCATGGCGAATGAACAGTTGCTACCCATTTTTATCGACTTAGGTCAGTCGCGGCCGAGATTCGAACTCACGACCTCCCAATCACGGAGCGAGCTCTCTACCGACTGAGCTACCGTGAACGGTTGATCGGAAAGAAATATAACAACTGGTTTTATATATACAACCTAATAGCGTAAAAAACCCTCCTAAATTTAAACTTACTTCATTTGAAGTGACAATAATGTTCTCAACATTAAAATTTCCACTGTTTCAACCAAGGAATTCTGACTTCAACACAACTGAATTATGTATTGTACATAAATAACCCTAATGATGTTTATGCAATATTGACATTTTTTGCGACATTTATATGTACCTTACATACGACTTCCCTATTTCAA